CATAGATGTTAATCATATCTGAGCTACTTGCTTCCTTCCTTTACAGCTGCTTCCCCTCCCTCATACTCTCTTTGCCTTTTCTAATAATTGTCTCCTTTTTACTTATCTTTTTTAGATTCTGTATATTAGCAGAATGTGTGATATTTGCCTTTCCTTACAAATAATAAAATTTTGTTCACTATTGCTGAATATCTCAGGATTATATATATCATCACTTATCTCCATGCATCCATTGATGGGTACCTTGACTGGCTCCATGTTGTTGCTATTATAAATTCTGGGACAGTATACTGATTTGAATTACTTCAAGTATATAGCAGAGAGTGCTACAGTTGGATCAAATCACAGCTCTATTTTCAGTTTTTTGAGGAACTCCCATACCGATTTCCATAGTGGTTGTACTTAATTACACTCTCACCTGTAGTGCAGAAAAGTTATTTTCTTACTGTATCCTTACCAGCATTTACCATTTTACTTATTCCCAGGATATCCATTCAAAATGAGGGGAGATGAATTCTCAGTGTCATATGGATTTGCATATCCCTAATGGATAACAATGAGGAACATTTTTTATATATGTATTGATTACTTGGTTTTTCTCTTTGAGAAGTGTCTCTCAATTAATTTGCTCATTTGTTCATTGGCTATTTTATTTTTTGGTTTTAAGAATTTTTAGTTTTATATGTGCCAGGCATAAATCTTTGAAAGAGTAAAAGGCAATGATTTTCCTCCATTCTACAGGTCTTCTTTTTATTTTGTTTCTCTGTGTAGAAACTTTTAAATTATATATACTGTCATTTTTTGTTTCCTGCTATGATTTATTTTGCTAGTAGAGCCCTACTTAGAAAGCCTTTGCTTATATTTATACCTTCAAATGTGATCATTCTGTATTCTTTTAGCAGTTTCAAAGTTCCAGGTCTTATACATGATCTTCAATCCATTTTGAATTGATTTTATACAGAGTGAGAGACAGATACAGCCTCAACCTTTTACAAGTCAATTTTCAATTTTCTAAGTACAATTTGTTAAAAAGGCTTTTTTTTCTTTTGAAGACAATAGAAAAATAATAGATAAGACATTAGAAATAATACACAATATCAAAAAACAAGATGATAAGTATTAAAAAATGGTTGTTACATTGCACATTTCTGTCTTCAATGTAAGAGGCTTTTTTTGCAACATAGTGGCTGCATTAGTCAGTTTTCCACTACTATAATAAAATACCTTAGGCTGAGTAACTTATACATAAAAAAGATATATTCAGTTTCTAATGTTGGAGGCTGGACATCCGGGTCTGAATGGTTTCTTCTGTCCAGCCTCGAGTGAGTCCCTCCTGCTGGGTCTCAGCATGGCAGCTGTTATCATGGAGAAGCACAGCACAGGAAGTGCTCACATGGGGGATGGAGGAGTCAAAGAGTAGAGAAGAGGCAGTCCTGCTCTGTGTATAACAATCCACTCTCAGGAGGAGCACTAGGCCCTTCCCAGCAGCACCACAGTGACCTGGTCACCTAGCACTACTCCTCTCCCCTCTTAGAGGTTTCTTCTCTTTACAGAGCCACTCTGAGGACAGAGTCTTTGGCACACCAAGTTTTGGGGACAGGCTATGTCAAAACTATACCTGTGGGTAAGTCTATGTCATCATTTCCATGAATGCAGGTGAAAATATGCAATGAAATTAAAATCCCATTCACAAGGAAACTCTTAATGAAATAAGAATGGGAGGGCACTTGCTCAACATGGTCAAGAGGCTCCATGAAAGAGAAAAAAATTACAGCTGACCTCAAACATAATTGTAAAAATTAAAATGCTTTTATTTGTATATTGGGAATGAGAAGGAAGTCTACCATTGTCAACCCTCTTTAACATTGTACTGGAGGTCCTAACTAGTGTGATTAACCAAAAGAAAGAAAAGAAGGACAGAAAACTTTCTATATTCTCAGAATACATGGTTGTGAACACAGAAAAGAAAAATCCTAAAACTCCATTTTAAAAAAAACTACTGAAAATATGTAAAATTAGCAAGGTTAGATAACAAGAGATAAATTTATAAAAAGAATTTTATTTTTATAAATTAATAATACATAATTTGGAAAAAAGTTTAAATACCATTGAAGGCAACCCCCAAGAACCCATAAAGTTAACAAACATATATAAGAATTATATGCCAAAAGGTAGCATGCTGCTGAGAGAAACTTGAAAGACCTATCTAAAGATATGTTATGTGCATGAATTCTAGCACTTACTATTATTAAAATATCAATTCTCACAACTTAATCTACAATTCATGTAATCCCAGTTAGAACCCCAACAGCATGATTTAAAGAGATTTTGAGTAAATGTAATAACCTGCAAGAGCCAATATATTTTTGTAAAGGAATGAATTTGGAGAATTAACACATTTCACTCCTAGGGATTCTGTGATGGTAACTGAGACATCGTAGTAGTACTGCAACAACAGATTATGCAGATTACTGATCCTGAGTACAGAACTAGAAACTGACCACACTGATATGATTGATAGAGGGCTCCAACGGCACCATAGTAATTGTTAAAATAGAAAGGATTTTCAACAAATAGTGTAAGAACAACAGATATCTAAATGGAATAATCATGGACCTCAACTCTTTTCTCACATGTAAATATTCACTTGAAATTAATGTAATCCAAACATGTAAATCAACTATAAATCTTCAAAAGGCAATCATAGGACAAAAATCTCTGCAATCTTAATATATCAAAGATTCTTAGATGGGACATAAGAAGCATGATAAAATAGGCCTCAGTAAAAATTTAAAAGTTCTGCTTCTTGCAGGGTGTGGTGGTGCATGCCTGTAATCCCAGCACTTGGGAGGCTGAGGCAGGAGGATCATTCAGTGTTCAAGATCAGCCTGGTCTACAACATAAGCTCACGACCAGCCTGAACTTCATAGAGAGAACTTGTCTCAAAAAGACAAAATAAATAATAATGATAATAAATAAATAAATGTTCTGCTTCTTGAAAGACAGCATTAAAAAATGAAGGGGCAAGACACAATCTAGGAAAAAAAATATGCCATATACATTTACTAAAAACTTGTATACAAATGTTATAAAGAATTCTTATAACACCCTAATTAGAAGATAAATTCAATTTTTTAAAAGTTAGAAAAAAATTTACAAAGTAAAATATTACAAATAACCAATAAAAATATAACATGGTGCACAGTATCATTAGTCTATAGGTAAATACAATTAAAAATCTACACAGAAACGTGTACACAAATACGAATGGCAACTTTATTTGTAATAACCAAAACCTAGAAACACATGAAATAGTCATAGGTAAGTAAATTATTTACATTGTGGTACATCTATAATCAGGATACTGTTTTGTAACCAAAAAACCATATTTTTGATACATGACAAAGCACAGATTAATTTCAAAAATATGTCCAACATAAGCAAACCAGATACAAAGGAGTGCATGATGCCTGAAATAGAGTAACAGTTTATACTGAGGGAAAGTGTGTCATTGCCTACATGTGACTCAGTATGTGCTGAGAGGCTACAAGGAATCTTAGGGGTGACAGAACTGACCTACATCTCATTTTGATGGTGTATAAGAAGTGTATATATTACATAAAACCTATATTCCTCATGACTTCAAGGTGTTACATTTATTATATGCAAAATATAACTCAAGAAAGATAATTTCTAATGGGTCAAAGTCAAGATAAACAAGGACTGAAGAACTGCTCCTGACTAAGGACACCACAACTGAATGTAGTGGCATAGAGGGCAGAGACCTGAAAATTTTATTGTGGGGACAGAGAACCTACATTACAGGTTGGATCAGAGGACTATATACCAATGTTAAATTTCCAGATTCTGATAACTGCAGCAAAACATCTGCAGCTAATACCTATACAAAAGATACATGAAAATTTCTTCAAATATCCTTGCTAATATTCAGTAAATTTGCAATTCTATATTTATGGGAATATAAGTTAGTTTATTTTATATTTTTATTTTTTTCTTAATTTATGTATTTGGTACAGGGTCTCAGGATGCAGTTCAGACTCATAGTCTACTGTTTTCAGCTTCCACAGCTCTGGGATTGCAGGTGTGGGCCACCACTCCCGGTGGTCTCACTGTGTGCCCAGGGCGGTGCTGGCTCAGCATATGGCACTGGGGATTGAACCCAGGTCCATGTGCTTGCCAGGAAGGCGCTTAGACCACTGAGTTATCTCTGCAGTCCCTACAAATTATTTTAAAAGATAAGGTAAGCTAGAAGAAAAAGAAATATGCACAACTATAATCTAATAATTCCCTTTTTATGTTTTGATTTAGGTACTATAGATTGAAACTAGGGTCTTTGTACTCAGCTATGTTGCAAGGCCTTATTTTTTAAAAAATTTCAGACAGGATCTCACAGAGGTGGCTAGCCTGAAGCTCAAACTTGGGATCCTCCTGTCTCAGCCTCCCAGCATGTTGGAATTACAGGCATTCACCAATATACCTGCTATTATATTTCTTATTTATGATATCAGGACAAGATATTGAAATGATTTCCCACATGGATAAGAAAAAATACAGACTGTATTAGTTTCCTTAACTAGACTTGTAAGTGGTTCAGGAAAAAAAAAAAAAAGAGAAAGAAAAAACAATATTTCAAGGTGATTAAAGGCAAACTGCTCGCCGATGACAAACTCTGGCTCTTCTCCAGAAAGAGCAATGGCTCCTGCCCTCTCCATCGTGCTCCACAGCAATGTTTCCTTCCTTTTCAGGATCATTTCTGTTTCCAAGCAGACTTGGTCCTGGAGTCAGAAGTGTTTATTTGTTAGTAATTTAAATTATCACAGGAAAGAAAGAGAAATGACACCCTTCCATGTTTACTTCTCTTTCTTGCTGCACATGAAAGCAGGGAAAAGGTCATCCATTCTCCTTTCACAGATACAGTTGGAGGGAGTTTCACAGGAGCCATTTGATATTTTTGTTGCAGTTAAAAATGCACATTTTCCTTCTCCAGGAAATAGAGTCCTTTTTGTAACATTCCTGTAGAGCAGAAAACATGGGGGCAACTGCATAATTCTGAAGCTTACCATGACACAAGTAATGAATTTTTCATAATTCTCTTGCTTGAATAGAATATGGAATTATGAACCATAAATTCACCATTTAAAATGTTCTTTCATTTCTAACTCATTAATAGAATAATGGCTTGTAAGTTTCATTTTATTTCCAAATGGCAGGTTTTGGTCAGCAGGCAAAAATAATTTGCAATATTATAATGCGGTTATGAGACATGAAGCCCGCTGTGTTATTTTTTTTTCTTTATTGGATTATAATTTATTGGAAAATGACTGCAACTGAATGTTAAATTCCAAGGAAAATTAATTCTTTTTTTTTCTCTACAGTTTTATTGATAAACATATAGCAATGAGACAGTTTCAAATCAAATCGGAAGTACAGTTTCAACAAATAACACACTGTATATATTCTTCTTAGTGGTTAATTGCTGTACAAGATGCGGACTTGTGATCCTATTTACAAACACCAT